TTAGGGTCTGGTTTTGTAGATTTGGTGTGTGCTTCTGCTGTTTGAGTGTCAGCTTTCAGAAACTGTGTGACAAGTGAAGATGCAGTGTGTAAGCAGCTGAAAACAACTGTAATACGAGAAGAGCTTATGTGCATTCAGAAGAACACTCGTAAAATGTTTATTTGTGTTTGTTTGACTCATTTCTCAGACTAAATAAATCACTTGCATGCTAAAGAATAACTGAGTGTTAGTATGCTGTGTAATGTGATTCCTGGCTCTAATCGTGTGTGTTTTTGTGTGTTTAACGCAGGTGTTCTGAGGGGTGATGCCCCGCTCGACCAGATCATCAGTGTGTTAGACGTCAGAGACAGACGCGTGTGTGTGTGTTTGTGTGAGTGTGTGTGTATGTGTGTGTGTGTGTGAGTGTGTGAGTGTGTGTGTGTGTGTGTGTGTCAGCATGGCTCTGCCCGACAAACACAAAGTCAAGAGACAACGACTCGACAGAATCTGTGAAGGTCAGACTCTTTTTCGTTTCATTTTCAGGCCCAGACTGAATCTTTTCACATGGTTTTAGGGAAAATGCGGAATTCTGTGGAATGGATTTAAACACTGCACTGCAACTTATGCACACTTGATTATTTATTTAATATATTTATTTTATTTATTTTTAGAAGGGTTGTGCAAAATTCAGAATTTAGGTATAGGCTCTCTTTAAATGTATGAATGTGAATTTGAATTGAGTCAATCACAACATGCAGGAACTTGAATTGGAATCAGTGTTATTTTAGCACTATTTATATACTATTGATTAATATTTTGAAATAGCTTTTATTTTTATATTTTGTTTTCATATTATTTTTAGGTAAAATTTTCTTTCTTCATTTTAATATGTGCATGAAATAGGAGCTCCCCACAAAGTGTCTCTAAGAAAAACATCATTTTTTATTATTTCTTTAAGTATTCCTGTTGAGGTTTGATTTATTTTCATTTCAGTTTTAGTTCAAATGTAAATGTTTATTTATTTCCGTCTAGCAATTTTAAAGCTTCAACCTAAACTTATTTCAGTTTATTGCCTAGGCAACATTCCTAATTTTTTTTGTTGAAGTTTTTCGTCTAATATTTGTATTTAACTGTATCTTATGTCACATTTATTTTAATTAATAAACATGTTTTAATAGTTTTCATTTTAGTTAACAATAATAACCCTGATAGGATTCTGAATCAGAAAGACAGGAAGAGGAATTACTGAATTGTATTAATCTTTCTGTAATTCTATTGTACTTCAAGGCTTTTTCCCAAACTTTTTCCAAAGGCTTTGTCAAGACGAGTTTGTCTTTACTAGTAAATTGTATTAGTAAAAAACTACAGTTTTACTACAGACCCACAAAAGCAGTGTTAAGTCGCTGGGGTATATTTGTAGCAATAGCCAACAATACATCGTATGGGTCAAAATTATAGATTTTTCTTTTATGCCAAAAATCATTAGGATATTAAATAAAGATCATGTTCCTTGAAGATAATTAGTACATTTCTTACCTAAAACTTAATTTTTGATTAGTAATATGCATTACTAAGAACTTCATTTGTTCTCAATATTTTGATTTTTTTGCACCCTCAGATTCCAGATTTTCAAATATTGTGCTATCCTAACAAACCATACATCAATGGAAAGATTATTTATTCAGCTTTCAGATGATGCATAAATCTCAATTTCACAAAATTGACCTTAAATTGATTATAGGTTTTGTGGTCGAGTGTCACATATTTCAATTAATTGTCATTTTACTTCCTTATATTTAAATTTCTATTGCTATTCTGAATTCTGTTTCATTGAAAAATTCTCAATTTTATTCTGTATGGTGCACAACCTGCTTTTAGCATCCAAATGAAAACATTTATCAATATGTCTTGCTTTAACCTTTCGGCTGGTTAATTTGAACTGACAGTCAAAAAGCGATTAAATGCGATTAAAAGGAAATCGATCTCCCACAATCCACTGCAAACTCACATTCATTTCTGTTTCCGTTCTGATATGAAATCTATTCCTGATGGATAACATCGAGTCGCTGTAATCAGTGCATTACATGAAACATGGCACGTCGTTTAGCAAATCAGCACAAACAGAAATGAGCTCATGAGCATCAAAATGAAAATAGATCCTTCTATTATATATTGAAACCCACAATAATATTTTAAATATTAGCAAGCAAATCATCATTTATTGGGTACTTTCAATTGGGAGGTGGCTGTCTCGAACCCTAACTTATGAAAATGATATTGAAATTAAGAAACTTTTTTCGGAGTTATTCCATAACATTTAGTTTTTGCATCGTATTTTAGTATGTTTTAGTATGCAAGTTAAAATTCTGCAATGTGATGCGGTTGCTAAAACATTACTGTCACTATCGAAACATGGGATGTTTTGTCAAAAATAAAGTATACTGAATTATGGTTGGTTCAATGTATATTCAAACTAATGAATCCTTAACTTTAAAATCAGTATGATCATCTTTTTGCCTTTTACAAAGAAAAATTGCATTAAAAAAACAAACAAATCTCATAAATTACACTTGAAATATTGTTAAAAATTTAATTGTTATTGATTTACCTCTGAATTTTTTTAAAAATAAAATAGCAACTAAATATATTTACAATCTAGATGCAAGCAAAATCTTAATAGGTCAATATAACCCTTCTAATTAAATTATTATTACTGTGTTTCGCTAGTGACAAATTTGGGGAAAAGACAAATATTCCAAAACTTTCTGAAAATACAATATGAGAATTAACTGCACAATTATTAGAAATGTGTACCTTGGGTATTATACAATTTGCATACATACAAATGTTTTGGAAAAAGACACATTTGTTTCAAGACGTTTCTGAATGGCCCATATACGCTGCAGGAGCCGTTCAGAATATGCAACACAATCTGTTACATTTTATTAAGTTCCACAAAAGTTTCATTGGCCAATAGCTTTGTGGCAGGTGTTTGGATGATGTAGGTGGTTGCTAAGGTGTTCTCAGTGGTTGCTAGGTAACCACGGGTAACAAACTGAGGTTTAAAAACGTTGTGGGAACATTGTTTGAAAATGTTTCTAAAAGGTTCAAATGTCCAGTTTTCTTGTCGTGGTAAGAATGTTATTTAAAGGTTACAAAAGTGTTTCTTTTGTAATATTCTAAGAATGTTAAAATATCTGGCTTTCTTGATGTTAACGGAGCGTTATTTAAAGGTTACAAAAATGGTTTTTACAACATTCTACTAACTTCATTTTTACCCCAAATATAACGTTTTTTGAATATTAATTTTAAATATTCTAAGAATGTTAAAATGTCGTAATTAGACTGTTATTTAAAGGTTACAAAAATGTTTGTTAGAACATTCTACTAACTTTGTTTTACCAAAATATAACATTATTAGAATATTTATTTTTAATAAATTTTTAATTTAATTTAACCCAAAGTATAACATTATTTGAATGTTAAATTTCTAAAAACATTACAATGTCCAGTTTTCTTGATGTGATTCTAACATTAAAGATTACAAAAACGTTTTTACAACATTCTACTGACTTTATTTCATCCAAAATATAACGTTATTTGAATGTTTATTTTTAATATCATGAGAACATTAAAACATCCCTGCTTCTTGTCATATTACATAACATTATTTAAAGGTTACAAAAAAACAGTTCTTAGAATGTTCAAGTACAAATAACATCATTCCGAATTTTGATCCAAGAATATTTTCTCTTAATAGTATAAAAACATATATATTATACATTTATAAGAAAGTTTCATAAACTTTATTTTAAGAATATTTTGTGCTAACACTTATATAACTTTCAAAAAACATTAGCTGGGTGGTTGTTTACTGGTCCACATTAAAAGAGGCCAAACACATTCTCATGGCAATTTGCAACTATTTAAAAGTTTATTGACTAATTTGAATGAATTTGTATCGTATTTGTACATTTTCATTCCATCTGCTCATGCTTCACTGATTAGTTTTAGGGGTGGACCTTCCTTCACGCATATTTGTTCTGATTCTAAGAATAAAAAGTGCATGCATGTTTTGAAAGATTTAATATCATCATGTACCTGTTATTGTTAAATCTATCTGTAATTTACAATCTAGATGCAAGCAAAATCTTAATAGGTCAATATAACCCTTCTAATTAAATTATTATTACTGTGTTTCGCTAGTGACAAATTTGGGGAAAAGACAAATATTCCAAAACTTTCTGAAAATACAATATGAGAATTAACTGCACAATTATTAGAAATGTGTACCTTGGGTATTATACAATTTGCATACATACAAATGTTTTGGAAAAAGACACATTTGTTTCAAGACGTTTCTGAATGGCCCATATACGCTGCAGGAGCCGTTCAGAATATGCAACACAATCTGTTACATTTTATTAAGTTCCACAAAAGTTTCATTGGCCAATAGCTTTGTGGCAGGTGTTTGGATGATGTAGGTGGTTGCTAAGGTGTTCTCAGTGGTTGCTAGGTAACCACGGGTAACAAACTGAGGTTTAAAAACGTTGTGGGAACATTGTTTGAAAATGTTTCTAAAAGGTTCAAATGTCCAGTTTTCTTGTCGTGGTAAGAATGTTATTTAAAGGTTACAAAAGTGTTTCTTTTGTAATATTCTAAGAATGTTAAAATATCTGGCTTTCTTGATGTTAACGGAGCGTTATTTAAAGGTTACAAAAATGGTTTTTACAACATTCTACTAACTTCATTTTTACCCCAAATATAACGTTTTTTGAATATTAATTTTAAATATTCTAAGAATGTTAAAATGTCGTAATTAGACTGTTATTTAAAGGTTACAAAAATGTTTGTTAGAACATTCTACTAACTTTGTTTTACCAAAATATAACATTATTAGAATATTTATTTTTAATAAATTTTTAATTTAATTTAACCCAAAGTATAACATTATTTGAATGTTAAATTTCTAAAAACATTACAATGTCCAGTTTTCTTGATGTGATTCTAACATTAAAGATTACAAAAACGTTTTTACAACATTCTACTGACTTTATTTCATCCAAAATATAACGTTATTTGAATGTTTATTTTTAATTTCATGAGAACATTAAAACATCCCTGCTTCTTGTCATATTACATAACATTATTTAAAGGTTACAAAAAAACAGTTCTTAGAATGTTCAAGTACAAATAACATCATTCCGAATTTTGATCCAAGAATATTTTCTCTTAATAGTATAAAAACATATATATTATACATTTATAAGAAAGTTTCATAAACTTTATTTTAAGAATATTTTGTGCTAACACTTATATAACTTTCAAAAAACATTAGCTGGGTGGTTGTTTACTGGTCCACATTAAAAGAGGCCAAACACATTCTCATGGCAATTTGCAACTATTTAAAAGTTTATTGACTAATTTGAATGAATTTGTATCGTATTTGTACATTTTCATTCCATCTGCTCATGCTTCACTGATTAGTTTTAGGGGTGGACCTTCCTTCACGCATATTTGTTCTGATTCTAAGAATAAAAAGTGCATGCATGTTTTGAAAGATTTAATATCATCATGTACCTGTTATTGTTAAATCTATCTGTATAATGTTTGTATGAAATTCTTCTTTTGCAGAAAAGTCCTGTGGTAATGTGATAATACCGTTCCACTCCGTAAGCACTGCTGGGTTTATTTTAAGGTTTTGCCTTAAAAGAAGGATCGGCTCTATTTTTAGGGAGCTGCTGTCAGATATATTTATGTTTGTTGGGCCGTTCTTGCAGATATTTCCAGACTCTGGTAGGATTGTGAACTATTTATCATGACACTGCGTGTGAAGGTTCTTACAGTGAACATAAAGAGTTGTATGTAATCATAAATTGAGCATAAAGATATTTTACACTTAGAAGAACCTATAGGAAGATAAGACACAAGCAATGGTGAAAAAAGACACAAATTGTCAATAAATTGTTACATTTATTAATTATAACTGGAATAAACCATTCTTCCTCAGAGTGATGTAGCTCATTAGATACTGTAGATGCTAAGCAGGAGTAATTTAGCTTTTAATATAGAATGTGTAAGTTTATCACATTTTTAACAGCTTAAAATGTGTCTTTTCCAACCCTAATATTGTTGTGTAGATAAAGGGTCAAGTGTTGTAAATGTGTTTGCTTTAGCATTTATAATTTGAGGTTTGTTTAAACATCTGTATAACCCAAACCAAGATGGGTTATAGTAAACTAAAACTTCCTTTGGTTTTGTGTTTTCCAATGTTTTCCATTGATGTATGGTTTGTTAGGATAGGACAATATTTGGCCGAGATACAACTATTTGAAAATCTGGAATCTGAGGGTGCAAAAAAATCTAAATATTGAGAAAATCATCTTTAAAGTTGTTCAAATGAAGTTCTTAGCAATGCATATTACTAATCAAAAATTAAGTTTTTGATATATTTACGGCAGGAAATTTATAAAATATCTTCATGGAACATGATCTTTACTTAATATCCTAATGATTTTTGGCATAAAAGAAAAATGTATAATTTTGACCCATACAGGTCATTGTTGGCTATTGCTACAAATATACCCCAGCGACTTAACACTGCTTTTGTGCTCCAGGGTCACATATGTATAGCATGAATATAAACCAAACAGCCCAAACTGTCCACATTATTTGTGAATCTTTGTAAGTGACGTGTTCAGCATTAACGCGTTCTGCCCAGATCTGTGTGAGGATTAACACCGCATCCTAACACCGTGCAAGACACTGAACTAAATAACCATTCGCACTCTGGGATCTTTATATTGCTGACATTGGAGAGAAATCAGTCCCTTCATGTTTGGCAGATGTTGAGACACAAATGATGAGATGACAGTTTGAGTGTTTGTCATAGGGGACAGTGGTATTAAGTTGGTTTTATTTGGACTAATCTCTCGGTGCTGTAGGGAAGGATAAACCCCTTTAGATTAGCATGAGCCCTTTGCCAATGCGTCGTCCTTCTGTTTTGCCTCTTTTTTACATCTTTCCCTCCCAAATCAAAACCCGATGGCTGAAAGCATCCAGAATCCAGCTTATGTATAAAGTGTGTTTCCTTGCTGTTAAGTTGGTAAGTTTGTGTTACGGAGCAGTCTGACTTGCTTATGTTTCCAATGCTGAATAATTTAGGGTTTACCTGCCAATCACACCTCAAGTAATGCAAAAAAAAATGTCGGCTAGAGAACAGGTGAAATGTTACCTCCCTCGCACACCTTCGCAGGGAAACATGAGAAGTGAAATCAAACACCTGCCTTTCCCTCTCCTCACAACTGTCCTCTCTTCTTTCCTCACCCGTGCATGCATTCACTACACATTACGCTTTCGTTCTGTAGTGCACGAGCATTTGCACTCAAACTCGATCTCTGTCGGCTAATGGGTTGCTTCCACTGAAACAAACCGCAATCTCTGCAGCAACTTCATGGCTGTCCGTGGCACCGTTCCTCCTCCGGATTACTACCCTTTTGATATCGCTCTATCAGCCCAGCCACCTGAAGATCTGCAGGGCTTTTATAAAGGAGACCAGCACATGCTGAGCAGATCAGGCTCGCATTATGGCTTGGCCACAGGAGGGGTCAGGAACGCTTGGGATCAAGGGCAAGCTAGAGCAACTACTCCTGCTCCTACGCCCAGGCCTCCTCCTCCTGCTCCTCCTCCTCCTCCCTCGGCTCATGAGATCAGCCGCTTGTACAGGGATTCTCTATCCATCAAGATGATCCCAGACAGCCAGCGCATTCGCAGTAGAGCCGCTTCACCGGCTTGCTTCGGCATTGAATCCAGATTTCCAGCAGAACACTCCGTGTACAGCGACGCCAACGGCCTTCCTCTGGACTCTGGATCCACCTGCATAGTAGTGGACCCTACAGCTCCAGTCATGGATGGGACTCTTCCTCGAGGGAACCCTGCTTACGGCTCTGTGTCAACTCAAAGGATGCCTTACGACCCTGCTTACGATCCAGGCTCCGCTCACCACCCTCCGGCGGCCGTCACTGTCGACCCCAAGAGAACCGTGGATCCCAGTTTTCTAGCTCTCCTGCGCTCCGAGGGTCTGTCGGAAAGCACTATAACTCTTCTCCTACAGCAAGGGTTTGATTCTACCTCCATGCTTGCTATGATGGAAGACCACGACGTCCGCTCCGTCGCTCCCAATTTGGGCCAAGCACGAATGCTTTCTCGAGTGGTTTTCAATTGCAAGACGGGAGCAACCGGTGCTGCGGTTATGCGAGGTCGTTCTAACAGCTTCAGCCATCGCAATGATCTCTACATGCAGTCTCAGGCAGTGGATGGAAACCTCATTCAACAGCCTCCCAGCGCCCTGCAGTCCGTCTCTCCAAGAATGGGAGAGTTTCTCGGTCGGCGGCCGAACAGTGCTCCGTCTCAACATCTCCTCGAAACCAGGACATATCCAGGGGTTCGCTCGGTCGAAGGTCTTCCGGTCAGTCCGGGGGGCTACGCCACTCAAACACGACCTTTGTACAATGCCCACACCGGCCTGGCCATGTCCGCTCAACAACAACTTCCGACTACTCCAGGAGTGGCACCCAAGACCTTCTCCACTACATACAGCCCTATGGAGCTGATGAAGCGCCCTCCGAACCTTACTCCTCTCTCTCCTTCTCATAGCCCCCATCACAGCCCTCAGTTAATGCGCAAGGGAGCAGCTCCTGTGGAGAGTGCCATCCTTCCAGCATCTTCAGCCCTCCAGCCTCAGACCCTTAATCCTAACAACAAACAAACCCGGAGAACCGGACCTCCGGTCATTGTATCCACCATGGCTTCACCTGACACAAGTAACAACCTTATTTCTGTCTTTTTTGGCTGTTTTACCTTTACCTACATTGTAAAAAAAAAATCCGTAAAATTTACTGTAAAAAAACGGCAGCTGTAGTTGCCAGAATCTTACCGTAAAAAATACAGTAGCAACATTTTAGGTTTTAACTTAAATTTACATTTAAATATCGTAATTTCATTAACTGATATAATGTTAATATACCAACCTATTGAAGTACTGAAATCTGTTTTGTACCTTGAAAGTCACATGATGAGCCAAAGCCCATCACAAGCAGCTTTTAAATACTAACATATATATAGAAGGTGCACAGTGTCATTCACACAAACACTAAACACCATCATGGTAACTGAAAATTGCATGAAATAATGCAATAAACATCAATTTAACAACATTAGGTGTAACATACAACCCTAATATACAAAACTGATAAGAAAAAAAACTAAGAAGTAACATAGCTATTTCAACAAAAAAAAACATAAAATTTGAAAATGTAACGCAGGGAATTCTGGGAATGTCAATTTACAGTTATTCACTGTAAATTATACATTCTTTTTCACTTCCAAAAACGGTACATGTAATGTCCAATACAGTTTTTCACCGTATATAGTAGGGGAACTTACCGTTAACCATTTAACAGGTTTTTAGCAGAGGCGGACAATAGTGAATTATTTTTACTCTTCCTTAAAAGTAAATTTTTCAACTGTCTGTGGTTTATCAGTGTTTTTCTTTAGAAAACTTTTACTTCACAACATTCCAAAGCATAATGTTGTACTTTTTACTGCACTACATTTTATATTAAATATAATTTAATACTTAATTACTTTAGAAATCTAGTACTTTCTTACTTCTACTTAAGTAAAAGTTTTTAGTAATATGGATTAGTGCTGGGAAACGATTAATCGCATCCAAAATAAACATTTTTGTTTATATAATATATGTGTGTGTACTGTGTATATTTATTATGTATATATAAAGACACACACATACAGTATATATTTGGAAAATATTTACATATATTTACATGTATATATTTATATTCATATTCATATAATTTATATTATATATAAATATATTTTTCTTAAATATATACATGCATGTGTGTGTATTTATATATACACAGTACACACACATATATTATGTAACCAAAAGGTTTTGGATGCGATTAATCGTGATTAATCATTACCCAGCACTAATATGGATGGTGTAGACCGTAAATGCAAAATATGCAAACTGTTTTTTAGTAATTCTTAATTAGATACTTTCTGAAACATTCATTTGAAACTTCTGCTAACAGCAGACTTTAAAATATTTGGATATTTGGATTAGCAGATTTAGCTAAGTGCTCTGTTTTTAGATTAGGAGACTATATATACTGTATATATATATATATATATATATACCCTATCTAGTGCGATTCAGCGTTTGTGATCCCAGCTGAACTTCACGAATCACTTGAATAGACTCGGCTTCATAACTATTTAAGAAACTCTTTGCAGCAGCTTAAGGAATATAAAAGGTTTCTTACTGACCTTGAACTTGAGTGCATTGCTCACTGTGTGTGCATGAATGTGTTTTCAGACCTGCATTTGTGTGTTTTACAATTTTAGTTGTCACTGCCATGAGTTCAGAGTAAGATTGAAGATTGATTATAATTCTTTACAAGCAATTTTAACCCAGGCCTTCCTTTTGGGTCCATGATTATGCATTACATTTAATCTTCAAGAACCGCAGTGTTTTCTCTCTCTGTTCAGTTAACAGTGTGTGTGAGCTTTACAGTTCGAGCTGAGTACTGTACCTCACTGCAGGCCTAATCAGAGTCTTAGAGCCTAAAATCTCATTAGGGTTAATAGGATATGCAGAGACACGGTCCTCTGAGAACGCGTTAGAGTCTCTCGACTGGAGACACACACTGAGAGTCTCTAGAAAACTCACTTGACATTTTAGGTTTTTGGCAAGATTTTACAAGTGAATTGTGGAGACTGTTCAGGCTATAGTTCACCAAACCGCTGATGATCCATGAAGGTTCTTTGAGGTTCTTCTGTGTGTTAAATGCACATGAGGAGTTTGTCAGGCTGAAGGTTGCTGGTGTTCAGGAGGCTGGTGGCAGATCTGTAAATGAGCTCTGTTACAGCTGACACGTGACTGACTTCAACATCAAAATATGGTTGAAATAATGTTAGTTGTTTCAATGTTGAAAAAACATTGCAACAATGTTAAATGCTAGGCTAACAAAATGCTCACAAATCAACTCAAAGACATTGTAAAAGACAACATGCATCAACTTGCAGGATTAAATTAAAATTCAGTGAGTTTCATCAGAGGAATAATACTTCACTATGAACGCATTCTTTGTTTCTTCCTTCATTCCTCTCCTGCCATTTTTCTTTTTCTAACGTGCTTTGTCTTTTTCTTTCTTTCTTTCTTTCTTTCTTTCTTTCTTTCCTTCCAGTATGTGTCATTAGTTGCTCCATTTTAATCACATTGTAATCACATAGATAATGTGTGTAAATGAGGACAGCTATACATTTGTGTGCATTTTATTTAGAAAGACACATATCATCATCCTAATGAATGCATGTGTACGAACACATTTTACAAACTGAAGAAGTGTGTGTTTATTTGTGTTTGTGTTTGTGTGTGTGTGTGTGTGTGTGTGTATGTGTGTGTGAGTGTGAGTGTGTGCGCGTTTTTGTGACAAATGAGGACATAAATTTGTATAATGACAAGGGTATGACATAGGTATTACAAGGAGAAGGTGACTTTTCAGGACATTACCCCATGTCCCCACTTTTCAAAACGCATATAAATCACACAGAATGGAGTGTATTGAAAATCTGAAATAGCACAAAGTTTCCTGTGAGGGGTAGGTTTAGGGGTAGGGTTGGTGTAGGGCAATAGAATATACAGTTTGTACAGTATAAAAACCATTACGCCTATGGGATGTCCCCACTTTTCACAAAAACAAACCTGTGTGTGTGTGTGTGTGTGCGCGCGTACGTGTGAGTGTTTGTTTGTTTGTGTGTGTGAGTGAGTGAGTGTGTGTGATTTTGTGTGTGTGTGTGTGAGTGTGTGTGTGTGCGTCCGTGCGTGCATGCGTTTGTTTGTTTGTTTGTTTGTTTGTTTGTGTGTGTGTGTGTTGAGAGGGCGGTGCTCTGCGGTGACTGCTGGTAGTCTTACTCTTAAACTCTCTCAGTTGGTTGGTTTCATAAGTAGTTTATTAACACACACACCGAGCAGTTTGACCGCCGGATGGAGCTCGCTGCAGGTCAGTGACACATGTGTGTTTGTGTGTGAGAGAGAGAGAGACACGTGACCCGCTGGAGGGTTTTTTCAGTCAAAGACATTCATCTGCATGCTTCTAAATAAACATGTTCAGTGGCGTTTAATGATGATTTAAATGTTTGTAATGCCGTCAGTGTTGAGTTTGGATATGAAACGTGTCTGTGTCTCTGGATGGAGGTCGGCGTGAATAATTCATGCGTTGTAAACGGAACGGCTCCTGGATATTGAATATCCACACCGACTGTGTGTCACCCTCTTTTGTTTTCATTTTTATTTTTTAATCATGAGTTTTTAGCCTCTCTCTTCATCTGTTTTTCTTGTCTCTTATACAGTGACACCCCAAAAGTATTCAGGTCATACTTAACAATGTCTGAATGTCATTCATTATAGATATATAAAAATATTTTTTAAAAACTTGTTTTCAGTTAGTTGCCAAGGCAGCATTTCACATTTTTTTTAGTTTATTTCAGAATTTATTTTTAGTGTTTTATTTCAAGTTTTGGTTTCAGTTACAGAAAATAACCCTACTTCAGACCAGCTTCCAAAGCATCATGATGATCTAGAAAAAAATTCAAGTGAGTGTTTAGGGATACTTTTTAATGACTGCAATGATTATTTCACAGTAGGAATAGAATCATCGGTAAAACAGAATTTAAAAAATAATTTACTACATCCATCCACTCAATCAGAGCGTTATTTACAGCCGAACGATGGATGTGAGAGTCATGTGAAGCATCATGGGATAGCGTGCGTGAGCAGATGAGCTCTGAGCTGTGCTTGTGTGTGTGTCTCAGGTGTTAAACGAGGCGATCGGCGCTCTGATGTATCACAGCATCACACTGACGCGAGAAGATCTGGAGAAGTTCAAAGCGCTCAGGATCATCATCCGCATCGGCAGCGGATACGACAACATCGACATTAAAGCAGCCGGAGAGCTGGGTAATGAACATCAACACTAACTAGTGCACAATCCAGTCAGATTAACACAGTTATGCATACTGTATCATATTTGATACAAAGGTCTAAGGTCTCTATATGATCAAACTTTGATTTCCTCCATGCCTTCTGTCGTCTGATTGATAGTTTAGAGTTTTTTGCTAGATGCTAGTGCTATTTTAGTATTATTTATACTCCGTTATAGTTTTTAGTAATATTTTGAATTAGCTTTTTTTGTATATTATTGGTTTTGATTTTAATTTATTATAAGTTTTAGTAACTTTGTCTTTTTTTTTTTTCATTTTTATATTTAGCTTTCATTTCATTTTTAGTTTTAGTAATCTTAGTACTTCAATTTAAACTTGCTTATCTTAGATGTCAAATTTTCTTTTGCATTTTTAAATTTTAAGATTTTCATCTAATATTTACACTTTCTGTTTTAGCTTTAGTAATTTTAGTACTTCAGTACTAATCTAATCTAATATTTTATTTTATTATTTCAGTTAGTTGCTAAGGCAAGTTTTTAAGTTTTT